TGTTGTATCCTTATGAATCAATGTTTCACAGATCACAGGTTCTTTCCCTACAATCTCTGCTGCATCGATCTCATAATTAGGATCTTTGTTGTAGGTCTTGTATGATGCATTATTTCGATCTTATTCCTCCTTTAGTAATGCTTCATACCTAGATGCCTTATAAGTCAGTTCCACTAAGTCCCTGAACTCAGTTGAGTCAAACTTCTTTCGAAGGCTAAACTCTAAGCCATTTTGAGCCAATCTTAGAAATTCTGGCTCTGGCAAGATAACTCTACATTTATTTCGAGCCCTTTTAAATCTGGCAATAAACTGAGTAGCTTTTTCTTCAGACCTTTGACTCAACCTTGCCAGGTCTACCATAGAAACCTCTGGCTCCGATTGGAAGAATTGGGCATGAAATGCCTCTTCCATTTGTTGCCAAGTTTGGATTGAGCCAGATGTAAGGTTAATGTACCATACAAATGATCCCCCAGTTAGAGAGTTTGGGAACAGTCTCAGCTTCATATAGTCATTATTACTAAATTCACCGCATTGAACAGCAAACCTAGCAATATGTTCTACTGTTAATTGGTTTCCACTCCCATAAAAAAGGGTAAAATCTAGTATTCTGAAACCTCTTGGGTATTCATATACCCTATCTACCCATTCTGGGTATGGTTTTCTGTACACAGGAGTCTGGACCACCCGAGCTATCGGTCCACACATCTCCCTAACGATGTCAGCAATTTGGTCCCTAGGAATCATATTTTGTGCCTGTTGAACCACTACTGGAGGAACAAACACAGGATTTGGTGGACAAACTTGTGCTTGTGGTCCTCTTGATCCATAAGGTGGTATGTTTGGGACTAGTTGTCCCTGTGGTGCAGGTTGTTGTTGGGGGTGTGGGTAACCCCTTTGAATTTGTCTTGCGAAAGGACCAGCAAAAAGTGCTGGAATTGGTGTTGTGTCTCTTCCATTTGTAGGAAAACCTTCCAACCCCTCGAGTATAAATTCGAATAAGGAATTAGTGAACCCCCTTGTGCCAGGTATGGCTTCGAACATGGGATTTGGAACCATTCTTATGCCATTTTCTTGTACGAGGCCAGATCCACCAAATTACATGGCTTCACTGTTAAGTACTGAGGCATTTTGACCTACTATAGGCCTCGGAATAGGCTCGTACCAAGATTGAGGTGATGGTCTTTCACACCAAGATTGAGGTGATGGTCTTTCACAGTTCTGATTACTAGTTTGACCATTAGAATGTCCATTAACTTGCATAGTCTGTTTATCTCTAGTCAATCTTTGCTGAGGGACATTAGGAACTTCCTCCATGTGTCTTACGTTTGTTAATTGGTGGTTATTCATTCGATCCAAAAAGGATGTTACCCACATTTTCATTGTGTTCATTAATTGCTATCCCATTGCATCTATTAAGCCACCCCATGGATTCATTGGTTGAGTAGATGGGACAGTGGATGGTCCAATTCCTTGATCTCGTCCGATATTACGAACATATGGTACTTGTTCTGAAGTACTGGTCTGTTCGACCATAGGTTCTGATAAAATGGGAGTTTCCATAGGATGTGTTATCACATTATCTTCAGGATTAGGTATCTCTATCTCTTCTTCCACGCCTTCTTCCAAGCGTTCATTTTCTCCTTGTCTCTTACGTCTAGCCATTTCAATTTGTCCCACCGGGTGTGCCAAAAATATATGTTGGCTTTTTGACTTTCGAAGATTATTATTATTATTATAATTGCGAGCGTGCCAGCAAGGATCAATCAGTCCTTACAGAAATTTAATTGCCAACCAATTATCAGATGATTGTGTTTTAGTTCTCTCAGCCTCAATGAAGAGAACTTTTACTGGTGACTTAATTTTGGAGAATTAAGCAAGCAAAATATCAATCAAATAAAGAACAACTGAAGCATTTCATTAGAATGAAAAACTTACAATGATTCAAACTCAGCCTCGTAGAGGTTTACAGCGACAATTTACTTGAAACTACTCCTATGAATGCAGCGCAGTGCAGAATTTAAAGTACTGGAATGTAAAGAACATGAACGTAAAGAACAAGAAATATAAAACTAAGTAAAGTAGAATACGACTGGTTTTTTGGATCTGAGTCTGAACCCTTTTTCTGGGACCTTCTCTGCTATTTATACTGCTCGAGGATGACCATCGAATTGCATTTTCAGCCGTCGAACTGCTCCTCCATGATCGTTGATCATGTTGCCTCAAGATTAGTTCCATTACGTCATCACTTACAGTTAGGCTTCCCTCCTAAATTTGAATTTAAATGTGAGTAACTGTTGATGCTACATCACCTTGTATCTCTTTGTTAATCCACTGCTACTTAGATCTCGTAACAACCAATACTAACTGCCACGCGTACTACCTTTACATCGCCACGCGTCGAATTATAACTGACTTGTACAAAATATGTAGCCAACAAAATTAAAAAATAATAAATAAATTATGATAAAATTATGGAATTTAAATTGTAATTTTTAATCTTATTTATTTTTATAATTTACATATAAAAATTTAATTATTTTTATAATTTTATATAAAAATATATTATTAAATTTTTATATTCTGTGCATAGTACGGGTTATCCTAGCAAATTATAAGTAAAAGTAACATTCTAGAACTAAAATAAATTATAATCGCTTAACAGTTCCAAAGTCGTCGAAATCCTTCGTAGAATTTCGGGGATGCAATTTTTCTAGTATCTTCGGAAAGATCGTCATTGCGTGCGTCAAAGATTTTTTTGTCCATGGGCAGAGAAGTCATTGGTTGGCTGTTGTGCCTAGTGGTTTTATGATGAGTGATGGGAGTGAAATTTATAAATTTTCATTAAATAATTAAAAATATATAAAAAATATTGTAATGAATTATAATTACTATAAAGTACATTTCTAGGAGTATAAATTTGGCCCAGCCCAGTCCCGTCCATGTTGGGCCTTGCAAACTCCCACCAAAATTCAGGTTGGGCTAGGCCAGCCCGCGAGTTAGAAAATTAGACTCAGGCCCAAGTCCATGGGGTATTAGGGCCTTGGGCAGGCCAGTGGGTAGGACCAATGGACCTAGGCCTAGTCTCGAACTTGGGCGGGTCTGAATATTTTTTTTTTCAACTAAAATTTTATTATTTTTTACTAAAAAAAGACACTAGACCTCGGGTCGGGGCTTGAATGGGCCTTAAGGGTGGGCCAGGCCAGACTTCAAAGTGATAGTTTAGTCCTAGGCCTAAGATCTCGGGTTGGGCTTGAGCTGAAACGGGCCTAAACTAGCCAGGCTTACTCCAAACCACAGACGAGATTCAGGTTACCCCTGAACCGTGGGCTATTTTTACACACTTACAATCGTGCTTGCCATGTAATTTATTTTTGAATTTTTGTGTTTAAAAAATAAAAATTAAGTCTACAAATGTACCCCTATTAAGAGGTACATGATGTGTCCATGGTCTATATTGCATCACATTATAAAAATAATTAATTAAATTGGTTAATTATGTTAATTTTTAATTTTTTATAATTTTTTATCTAATTTAATTTTAAATTTGAATAAAAAAATGATTAATATGAACTATTCTAATATTTTCATTAAATTTTCTTCAATTGTATTATAAAAGTTTTCCTTTTATCCCCAATTTTTCTTTTCATTAAATTTGATTTAAAAAAAATTATCTTTGATGCTTCATCTTTTTAAATTTTTATCAAATTTAAATTTGATGAATTCACAATTTGATTAAAAAAAAGATTTTTCTTGATTTGATGAACATTTCATGAAAGGATTGTATATGATTTTTGAATATTTTTTTGTCAAATTCCAATTTGATGAAAGAAAAAATGAGGGGTTAAAAATGTTCTAATATTACATTAATAAAATTATATTAGAGGAAATTACAAAAAAATTCTCAGGTTTTATCTTGGCAATAAATCAAATCATATGATTTTTTAATATTTTAAAATTTAAATTAAAACAATTAAAAAGTTTAGAATATTCAAAACCTGTCTAATATAATCATTTATTGTGGATTGTTTTTTTTCCAAGAAAATTCTAATAATGCAATATAGAATTTGAAGCTATGGTTTTTTAAATAAAAATTCACTATAGTAAATTTGGTTTTTCACAAGATATAGCCGACCGACTTACAACATAACCCAAGGCAACCTCTCTCTATTTGTAATGACAAAACATACCTAGTATATATTGTGAGAAATTCTATTAACTCAAAATTTTATTCTAGATTTTTTTTTTTTCAGAATTACTTTGTGGAGATGGAAATTAAATTGGTTAAGTGTGTGATGTTTATGAGTGAAATAAATTTGAACCATTAATCGTTATTTATACATAAATTCTTAATAAAAAATTTTAGACTTGTAGTCGATTTGCTGCACTAATAACTCAAGAACGTAAAAAGAATCCAAAGATGGAATTTTCCACATTGATTGAGGTAGAAAACTTAGAATATCAATAGACCTTGACATTCTGCTGAGAAAATTAAAAAAAAAAATTAGTTTCAGACAAAAAAGAAAATAAGTAAATTTGCAAATGTATATCCGAAATTTTAAATTTGACAGACTTCTATATGCATGATTGTTTTCGACTGTATAACCATATACTCCAATGTTGTGTAACAAATGTACTTTAATTTTGCAAACAAAATCACCTTTGGAAATTGGTGTTGCACAAACATTTTCCAAGTCAAGTGGTGCTTCATTAGTGCATTTTCTTTAGTATAAAGTAAATAGAAGTACAAGAGATATAATTCAGTGGGAGATTCATCAACCAGCCATTTTAACTAACTATTATAACATATTCAAAGCATCCACATTAGAAATTGAAGAATTGCCCATTTGTGAGAGCAATGCACAATTTGTGTCTCTTCATTACAGCAATTTGATCTTGTTCAATTTCATCAAATTCTGAACAACATCTTCTAGTATGTTTCAATCAAATGGAAGTTGTGCGAATCAAATTATTGAATAATCATCAAATCAGATCTCTTTCAATTAAAACAAAAAAAGTTCTCTTCTTTATTTCAAGTATTACACAAACAAACAATTCCCTTTAAGCAAACATAACATCTAGAGATAGAAAGGTAAAAATAAAAAAGACAAAATAAAAGGGGATCCCAAAAGAGAACTATGAAACTGTACGACATATAACACTTCAATCAAACATTCGTCTAGAGATTTACTTAGCCTGGAGCCTCTTTTTGCGCTCCAACATGGAGTCATAGATCTTGTGCTGGTCAGGAAGATGCTTTTACACCAATAAACCCAAGCAACAAGTGCAGGGCACTCTGCCACAATGTTGAAGTTGCCACACTGCTCATAAGCAAAGAAAAAGCTATAAGATGGAACCAATGCCACATCCATAATGCCAAAGGTCTCTCCCCCAAAGTAAGGCTTGTCTCCAAGTTCTCCTTCCAACACCTTCAAGTAACCTATGAGGTCATTCTTTGCTGTTTCTTGGGCTTCACCTGTGGAAAACATTAGCTGCATCCCAGCGCTATAAATCTGTATAACATATCACATGTAAATGTTGGTCAGACGGCATAATATTTACCGATTATGATCCTCTATCTCCACTCCCCTATCCCAAAATACTCACAGTGGTTGGTTCATTGAAAAAACTATGCACCTTGATAAAGTACACTAAAAATGAAGTGTATGAAGTAAATTCAAATTTAGTGTAGTGTGAGTTATACCTAGAATAAATTTACTCCACGCATTTCATCTTCACTTAATTTTTCTAGTATTGCTAATTATTATTATTTTTTCCCAACTAATTTGTTGAAATTGTGTGGCCTGGCACAGATTTATGCAGCATGTAAGAAGGTATGGATGAGTAAACGAGAAGATCAAGAGACAGCCAAAAGAAAACTGATAGAGATCTTTAAGTTGCTAGAGGGAGAGCTTGGTGACAAGCCCTACTTTGGTGGTGACAACTTTGGGTTGGTTGACATTGCACTTGTCCCATTTTATAACAGGTTTTACACATTGGAGAAATTTGGGAATTTCAGCATAGAAGCAGAGTGCCCCCTTTTGGTGGCATGGGTTAAAAGGTTTATCAAAAAGGAAAGTGTGTCCAAGTGTCTTCAAGACCCAGAAAAACTCTATGAGTTTGTTGTCAAGCTTAATAAGATGTTCGGAGTAGAGTAGAGTAGAGTGGCCTGCCTTTGACAGTATTTATATGTTTAGTCTCCAATTGGCATGGTAATAAAGAAGTTATAGTTGCACAATTGAAGTTATTTTGATAGCATTATTGGCATGGTAATCAAGAAGTTCTATTTGCACAATTAAACTTATTTTGATAGCATGCGCTATATCGATGTTTCTATGAGTCATATAACTTGTAATAATACAGGATTCTTTGTCCTCAAATTTCTATGTATCTCCGTCTTAATACATTCTCAATTGTTAAATCATATCTTGAGCTTCACATATGCCTCAAAATTCTTATATAATTCCATAATTGGAAGTGCATTGAGACAAGGGCCGCATGTAATAAGTGGACTACATTTGCTAGTTTTGTATCAAGTTCAACTTGACATTTATATATGCATTACTGTGCTAAACTGCATAGCCATATACTCGAGGAAATGAACTACTTGTTCTTTAATTTTCATCAGTACATTTTCTTTGGACCAAAAAAGGAGTAGTATCTTCAAAGGAAATAGAAGTAAAAGAGATGTTTCATTATTTCTAATCTTGTAATTATATTGCAATTTACAGACTTTTCCATCACAAACAGATTAGTGTCCATACAAAGTACTTGGCCGGGGGAAGAAACATTACTTGGCAGTGGGAGATTCATTGACCAACCAATTTCACTAACTTTAAGAACATGTGTAGTTGTTTGTTCGAAGCATCCACAGTGGAAATTACAGAATTATCCATCTATGAGGGCAATGCAAAATTTATATCTCTGCATTACTTAGCAATTAGATCTTGTTTAACATCTTCAAATACTGAACAAGATCTTCTAATATGCTTCAATAAAATGAAAGTTGTGTGAATCAGATTATGAATATCAATCAAAGCAAGCATTTTTTCAATTAAAACAACAAAAAGTTTCCTTCTTTATTTAAGGAGAAGTGATTGAGAACTCTAAAACTAGAATTCTAATATGAGTTTTAGTGATGTGGTATGGAGGGGAAAAAAAATAAAACAAAACACAAAGACAGAAAAAAACACAAAAAAGTAAGCATAAATAAACATTACATAGTAGATCCCACCATTAGAGCTCCTCTAGAGCTCTCAATAATTTTTGTTGTTAAGTATAACATAAACAGAACATTCCTATAAGCAATAACACTCCAATTAAACACTCTTCTAGAGATTTACTTAGCCTCAAGATTCTTTTTGAACCCCAAGAAGTAGTCAGAGAGCTTGTGGTGGTCAGGAAGTGACTTGGACACACACTCCTTTTCCATACACCTATGACCCCAAGCAACAAGTTTAGGGCACTCTGCCACAGTCCTGAAGTTGCCAAGCTGCTCAGTTGTATAGAAAAAGTTGTAAAATGGGATCAGTGCCACATCCACAAAGCCAAAGGTGTCACCCCCAAAATAAGGCTTGTCTCCAAGCTCTCCTTCCAACAGCTTCAAGCACCCAATGAGGTCATTCTTTGCTGCTTCTTGGGCTTCACCTGTGGACGACCACATCAACTTCCCACCACTATATATCTGCAGAACATACAGTAATTAAATGTTGGTAAGTAGGCGCAATATTTAAATCAATACTTAACAGTGGTTAGGTAAAACAGATATGGAAGAGTTAGGGCTCACCTTCTTGTCAACAAAATCAGCCCAGAACCTGGCTTGAGCTCGCTGGTGAGGATCACAAGGCAGCAATGGAGATTTGTGGTTCCATACTTCATCGATGTACTGAACAATGATGAGTGACTCGCACACCGGTTTGCCGTTGTGGATCAACACTGGGACTTGCTTGTGAACAGGGTTCATCTTCAAGAACAGTGGACTCTTGTTGCTCAGGTCCTCTTCTCTGGACTCATAATCTACCCCTTTCTCAGCCAAGGCAATTTTCACCCTCGTCGCAAAAGGGCTAACCCAGAAGTCCAAGAGAATGACTTCGTCCGCCATTGATGATGATGTGTAAAAACTCAGTGAAGATGGAAGATTGACTGAAGAAGAAGAGAGAAGGAAGGTGTGTTTAGCGAATTGTGTAGTGTTTGTTTTAGTGCCAAATAGGAGGTTGGAGCCAGTAGTATTTAAGTCATCGAAATACCTTGTAGACCAAACCATCCCACAGTCGTCGAAATGTCGACATCCCTTGTAGACTGTACCAAACCATCCCAAAGTCCTCGAAATCCCTTGTAGAATTTCGGAGATGCAGGGATTGTTTAGTTTGTATTTGAAATATATGTTTTAAGATAAAAAATATGAAAATTTATTTGATTTGATTCTTTTAAAAGATATTTTAAAAAATTATTTTAAGAGAGAGTTTTGGAAAAAGTAATTGATTTGATGTATATGAGGGAGAGATTTGTTTGGAAAACTTGTAAACCAAACAAGTTTTGAAAAAAAAAATTGAAAAAATTTATTTAGTTTGATTACTTTTAAAAACTTATTTGTAGACAATTTTTCACAAATTTTTTTTTGAGAAACACGAACCAAAAGCATCTTCGGAAGGATCGTCATTGCGTGCGTCAAGATTTTTTATCTATGGGCTGAGAAGTTATTGGTTGGTTGTAGCGCCCAATGGTTTTATGGTTGGAGTAGTGAGTGAAATTTTTCAATTTATATTAAAGAATTGAAAAATATATAAAAAATATAATAAATTATGATTGATATGAAATATAATCACGTAATGTTTTAAGAGCATCTCCAATAATTCACTTAATTTTTTATTAAATTTGAGTAAAAAAATAATTATTTTCACAATCTTATACAAAATGTTCCAATGGTTGATTTTCATCAAATCTGCTCCAGGGACAATCGGTTGGTCGACTAGCCGGTCGACCGGTAAGGCATAATTTTTTTTTTAGAATTGTTTGAACCTACCTATTTGAACTGTTTGAACCTTTTAGTGGTCGACCGGTAAGGCAAAAAAAAAAAAATATATATATATATATATTGAATTGTTTGAACCAACCCATTTGAACTGTTTGAACCTTTTAGTGGTCGATCGGTTGGTCAATTGGCCAGGCAACCGGCTGGTTGACTGGTTCAACTCTTTCAACGGTCAGGAACAGGATTGTCAAAGAAAAGGGATCATGTGTGGCTACACAGTGTGCTATGTAACTTTTTGACTGGGATGTGTGGCTGCATCGTACCTGTGCAGCGTTGTTTTTCCTTTCTTTTTCTTTTTTTTTTTTTTTTTTTCAATTGAGAGATTTCCCTCCAAAAGTGGTAAATAGTATGAAATTTTTTTACTTTTTAAATGACTTTTTTGACTTTTTAAATTTTTTTAAGAATGCTAAGCTTGGCCTAAAAGCAATTCTAGTGAGTTGGCATTACACCAAAAAAAAGGGAGGGGTAAAAGACAAAACATAAAGAGGAAAAATACAATTTAGGGATTGTTTGGGGTGTCCTAAGTGCACTTTTTGTCTTTTAGGATTAAAAAGTTGAAAAAAATATTAATGTTTGAGTTAACTTTTTGACTTTTTATGAAAAAATATATATTAAAAAATTGTATAAATAAGTGTGTAGGAGAAGATAGGGTAAGAGGTCGTACGAATTGGCAGTGGAGTTGGCTGGTTGAGTAGATGAGAAAATATTGTCTCCTTTTCGGGTTTTGATTGGATGGTGTTGTTTTGCCCGTGGGGGCCCCCACGGGTCCCGTTTTTCTAATCGGAACCGTTCAATGTGTATAATTCGTCGAGTACTATATGTTTGTAAAAAATCACGTTGATTGGATATCGATAGCTATCTAATCAAATTAATTTTTTTTGTTAACTGCTAACTATAACACCATCTATTTTTATACAAAACTGATTTGATCATATAGTTAACGATATCTGATAGACGTGATTTTTTACAAGCATATAATACTAGACGAGTTTTACATATTTAATAGTTCAGATTATCAAAACAGGACCCATAGTGAGCCATCATGGGCCCAACTTTACCATCCGATTTAATGAATATAACATAGAATTTTTTTTATTTTGTTTCCTTTCACTAACTAGTTCGTCACGTCAGTGCCTAGATTTTATCAAAAAAATTGATTTGAATTAATATTTGTATATTAATTTTTTTAATATTTTTTTTGTTGAATAATTATAATTTTTTAATTTTTTTAATAATTTTTTAATTTTTTTTAAGATTGCCAAACTTAACCTTAATGAAAACCCGCTCAAATTACATGCATTGTATACATTTATATGGGCCTCATGTACCCTTAAATTTGCGGCCTTTTGCCTTGATGCAACAATTTCAATTGGGCCAATTTTAGCGAGCCCGATCAACTATCTAAGCCCAAACACAGAACCAGTCACCTCGGTATTGCCAGCCCCGGGCAGCACTGATTTTCAATCTAACGGCCACCAAACCCTGCCCGACGAATCAAAACGGTCAGCGGTAGCAGATCTCTCTAGAATCCGCCACGTGGCATTACCTAACCCTCACTGCCTCTCTCTCCTAAAACCCTTCTCTCCGCATCTCTCTTTCTTATCTTCTTCAACCTTGAAGCCACCTCTCGCTGCGTTAAAATATGAGATAAAAAAATTAATATATTTGGAATAACTTTTTGATTTTTTACAAAAAAAAAATGAAAAAAATAGAGAGAAAATGAAATCTTTAATTTTTTAGTATTAAGTTATAAACTTTTTGATTTTTTTAGAAATTTTTTGACTTTTTTACTAAAACTGTTGTATGCCAAACGAGGCGTACGAGGTACATGATGTGTCCATGGTCTATATTACATCACATGATAAAAATAATTAATTAAATTGGTTAATTAAGTTAATTTCTAATTTTTATTATTTTTTAATATAATTTAATTTTAAATTTGAATAAAAAAATGATTAATATGAGCTATTCTAATATTTTCATTAACATTTCATCAATTTTATTTTAGCAGTTTTCCTTTTATCCCCAATTTTTCTTTTCATTAAATTTGATTTAAAAAAAATTATCTTCGACGTTTCATCTTTTTAAATTTTCATCAAATTCAAATTTGATGAATTCAAAATTTGATAAATAAAAAAAAATGATTTTTCTTGATTGATGAACGTTTTATGAAAGGATTCTAGATGATTTTTAAATATTTTTTTGTCAAATTTAAATTTGATGAAAGAAAAAAATGAAAGATTAAAAATGTTCTAACATATTACATTAATAAAATTATATTAGAGGAATTTACAAAAAAACTCTCAAGGATTTATCTTGGCAATAAATCAAATCATAATTTTTTAATATTTTAAAATTTAAATTAAAACAATTAAAAATTTTAGAATATTCAAAACTTGTCTAATATAACCATTCATTATGGATTTTTTTTTTTCCAAGAAAATTACTGATAATGCAATATAGAATTGGAAGCTATGGTTTTTTAAATAAAAATTCAGTATACTACTAAATTTTTGTTTTTCACAAGATATAGCCAATCAACTTACAACATAACCCAGGGCGACCTCTCTATATTTGTACTGATAAAACATACAAAGTACCTAATATATATTATGAGAAATTCTATTAACTCAAAATTTTATTCTAGATTTTTGCTCAGAATTACTTTGTGGAGATGGAAATTAAATTGCTGAAGTGTGTGGTGTTTATGGGGGATGTACGGGGCGAAATATCCTCTGTTTTCTGTACTCCTTGTACTCCAAGCTTCTCTTGACGGCGTCTACCTGGCAACACAGAAACGGTGAGCTACCCGACGGTGGTATGCCGGATAGACCCTCCGACGATCAAGTCAGTCCACTTGAGGAAGAAGACTGTTAGAGAGAGAGTATTCTCTTTGGGGAAGAAGTTGCATACCTCTAACGTTCGCCTTCCTCCACTATTTCTAGGCTGGCCATGCAGCCCCAAGATCGTGCGCGCACCACCTCTGTCGTCCTTCCCTGGACAGGTGGTAGTGCTTGCCTCTCACCACCTTACGCGTGTAAAGATTTTGTCCTCCAATCAGCACATGCAGAACTGCCAAACGGTATTGGTGTGTGCGTGGAGCAGATGTCCTCTCCCTCACGCCATTGGCCCAGGTGGCACACTTAACCGGAGTACCATGACCGGCCGGTTCCTTGTGGAGGCAATTCTCCACAAGCACACAACCGAGCTAATAAACGCCGACCTGCCACTTAGCAAAGGAGCCAAAGTGTTATGCTTATGACCGGGCTATTTATGATCGGTCCCACCTGACTAACCGGCCACGAAGCACGCTGGACTTCCACCGTTCTTCATTCTTGATCACATGAAGCCCGTCCATCTCGGCCGACCGGTTAGGCGCATGCCGGTGGCGCTAATCGCATCTCAAGTCTAGTCCGGGCTCCTCTTAGCTTGGTCATCAGACACCGCCGCGCGCTCGGCCGCGTCATAGCTCGGCCAGGCATTAGTTCGTGTCTGGTCGGTCGACCTCTCCGGCCGTGCAAGTCAGGCCACTGGGCCGTACAAGAGAGGAGTTTGCTCGGCGCCGTGCGGTTCGTCATGATTGGTGTTATCGTAGCTCGGCCATACTAACGCGCAAATCTCCCCTCTCAGGGGAAATGAATTTGAACCATTAATCGTTATTTATACATAAATTCTGAGTAAAAAATTTTAGACTTGTAGTTACTATGCTGCACTAATTACTCAAGAACGTACAAACAATCCAAAGATGGAATTTTCCACATTGATTGAGGAAGAAAACCTAGAATATCAACGGACCATGAAAATTAAAGAAAATTAAGTTTCAGACAAAAAAGAAAATAAGTAAATTTGCAAATGTATATCCTAAAGTTTAAATTTGACAGACTTCTATATGCATGATTGTTTTCAACTGTACAGACTTCTATACTCCTATCTTGTGTTCTTTAATTTTGCAAACAAAATCACCTTTGGAAATTGGTGTTGCACTTCAAACATTTTCCAAGTCAAGTGGTGCTTCATTAGTGTATTTTCTTTAGTATACAGTAAATAGAAGTACAAGAGATATACTTTAGTGGGAGATTCGTTAACCAACCATTTTAACTAACTATTATGACATATTCAAAGCATCAACATTAGAAATTGAAGAATTACCCATTTGTGAGAGCAATGCACAATTTGTGTCTCTTCCTTACTCATCACAATTTGATCTTGTTCAACTTCATCAAATACTGAACAAAATCTTCGAGTAT